CCTTAGCATCCTGCATGCGGAGATTGATTACAGGTGTGTGTTGGAAAATGGAAGAGAAAGGAAACAGGCCAAACTCGATCTTCCACAGGTGAGGACTGTTTTTTGAGATATAGCAATGAGGGGCACAGCCTTCCCACAGGCTTGGAGACTGCGAAAACTGGTTGCTTTTTTTATGGGGTCTGAGCAAGGAGAGAGGGGTTACCTGAGTTTAGTATGGGGCGTGACTGCAGATGCAGGCAGAGAATAGGGTAAGTATTCCCTATGCCAAGGTCTCAAGCTTTTTTTTTTTAACTTTATTGTCAAGCTGATGTACAGAGGGGTTACAGTTACACATGTAAGATTGTGAATACATTTCTTGTTGAACTTGTTACTCCCTCCCTCATTTCCTCCCATTTTTCCCTCCCTGATAATCCCCTCACCCAAATTGTACAGTTCATTTCAACATATTGTCTTGTGAGTATCACTATTACATAGGTTCACCCTTTGTCCTTTGTCTCATTTTGTTGTTCCCCTTCCTTTCCCTAATCCGGATAAACATATATACAATACTAGGCTCTAACAGCTCTACATCTGTCTTGCCTAGACAGTTTGACCTTCACAAGATACAGTTCTTAGTCTTCCAACCTCTTAACCCTTTCCTGCCCTCACGGCTTGGCCTCCAAGTTTTATAGGCTAGGCTCACAATGGAATGTTTGCACCAGGCTCAGGTTGGATTGCCCTGCCTGGGTCAGGCAGTCTGAACGTATCTTTGGTGGCTTGCCTGGTATCTGTATGCACCAAGGAAATTAGGGTGGGAGTTAGTCCTTCAGTGTGTACTACCATGCCAGGCTTGCTACTCAGCTTTCTTAATTGTGTGTCTGGGGAATGACTGCTCTTCATGGCCCAGTCCATTATTACAGGTGGCAGAACTTCTGGGTGCCACACAATCCTAGCTATCTCTCCCTCAAGTTATCTATCTACCTTGCACCTGAGAGTAGGGAGAGGGAATTGTATCCTCATATCTTCCCATTTTTCTTTCTTCTGGGCCATCACTCTTGCATATTGGTTACTATTATTCTGCCCTATTTAGTTTAAAGCAGCTTATAAATGGAAAGCTAGCCTTAAGGGTAACTGCAAGAAAATTGTTTCCTTCAGTTTATCTCTCTCCTATAGAGAAGACGGGTCAAGCAAATAAATGAAGAGGACAGAAATGGAACTGAGGGATTGCTGAGTGTTTAATGACTTCAATTGTACTCCACAAACAAGTTGTATATATTGAGCGCTTGGTGCTAGAAGGAATCCAGGAACAAATGGATTAGTTTGGGTTTTATGGAAAGGAGGAATACAGTAAGTTAAGGAGGAACGTTTATTTTTTTTATAGTTTTGGAGCCTGGGCACTGTCCCTGAGCCTCTTTTGCTCAAGGTTAGTGCTCAACTCCTTGAGCCACAGCACTACTTCCAGCTTTTTCTGAGTCGTTTATTGAAGGTGAGAGCCTCAGACTTTCCATCTCCAGGCTGACTTCAAACTGCAATCCTCAGATCTCAGTCTCCTGAGTAGCTAGGATTACAGGCATGAGCCACCAGCACTTGACAGGAATGTTTAATATTAAGAGTATTAAGTTGGGGGCTGGGAAGGTGGCTCAGTGGTAGAGTGCTTGCCTCGCATGCATGAGGCCCTGGGTTCAATTCCTCAGCACCACATAAGCAAAAAGCCGGAAGTGGCGCTGTGGCTCAAGTGGTAGAGCGCTAGCCTTGAGCTGAAAAGCTGAGGGACAGCACCCAGGCCCAGAGTTCAGGCCCCACAACCGGTCCCCCCCCCAAAAAAAAGAGTATTAAGTTGAACAGAAGACTGGAGTTGGGAGAAATTGGCTAGTAAGAAATAAAAAGCCAAGCACTGGGTAGCTATGCCTGTAATCTTAGCTACTCAGTAAGCTGAGATCTGAAGATTGTGGTTTGAAGCCAGCCTAGGCAGGAGATCCCATGAAACTCTTACCTCTAATCACAGAAAAATACAGAAGTAGCACTGCGGCTCAAGTAGTAGAGCATTAGTCCTGAGCAAGAAGGAGCTCAAGGACAGTACGCAGGCCCACAGTTGGAGCCCCAAGACCAGCAAAAAGAGAGAGAGGTGGGGGGAAGGAAAGAAAGGAAGAAAGAAAGAAAGATTAGCACAGTGCTGGTGGCCCATGCCTGTAATCCTAGCTAATGTGGAGGCCAAGATCTGAGAATCATACTTTGAAGCCAGGACAGGCAGGAAAGTCTGTGAGAATCTTATCCCCAATTAACCATCAAAAAGCTGAAAGTAGGGCTGTGGCTCAAGTGGTAGAGCACTAGCCTTGACCAAAAAAGCTCAGGGACAGTGTCCAGACCCTAGAGTTCAAGTCTGAGCACTGATGCACACAAGCATATGTGTGTCCACACATACACACACACATGATGATTACAGGAATTATAATTGTAAGGGAAAGGCACTACCCTTAAGGTTAAGATAGAGTTCCAAAAAGAACACAACTATAACATTGAATGATGGTCACTGTGGTGCTGCTGTGGTGGCATTTGCTGTAAATTCTTTCTCAAATTTTATAGGAACATGTTCTTTAGAATTTGCCAGCTATCTATCTGCCTTTTATAGTGCTAGGGAAGCTGCACTCTGCAACAGCCTATCCAGAGAAAGCACATGAGCACCTTGGACCCCAAACCTTTCTCCTACAGTTTCTCTCTAGTACTTGCTTTTAACAAAAGTTTGGATTGTGTCACTTGCAAATGGAAAAGTATTTAACAGACTCATATTCACTCTAACATAATATGTGAAAAAAGGATTAAGCTGGAATTGTAACAACCAGCTACTGTGCCAGCCTAGCTTAGTACTTTATGCACCATCCTATCCATATGAATACAAAAGCAAAACAACTTTGCTTTTTCTTCTATGCTCAGCATCAAACCCAGGACCTTGCATATGCACTGTACCACTGAATTATTTTCTTCCTTCACCTCCTCTGATAACCAGCCTGGGTGCTGGTGATTCTCCTCCTTAATCCTCCCCTGGACCATTGGGTTTGTGGGCATGTGCCACCATATCCACCACAACATCACATTTCTTTTTTTTTCCCCAGGGCTGAGGACCGAACCCAGGGCCTTGGCGCGTGCCGGGCGGGCACCCTTCCGCTGGGCTAAACCCCCAGCCCCAACATCACATTTCTATCTAGCAAGATATATGTTTCTTTTATACCCAGGGTTTTTTTTTTTTACTCCTCTTGCAAAGGAGGAAACACACAGTCCCATGAGTCATTGCATAACTGACATAATGAGGAAATAGAAGCAACATCCCAGGCATCGTGGTGCTGGGTGTTTATATTTTCTTTTTCTTTTTTTTTTGTCAGCCATGGGGCATGAACTCTCAGCCTGGGTGCTGTCCCTGAGCTCTTCAGCTCGAGGCTAGCACTCTACCACTTGAGCCACAGCGCCACTTCTGGTTTTCTGGTTGTTTATTGGAGATAAGAGTGTCATGGAAGCGGCACCAATGGTTCACGCCTGTAATCCTACATACTCAGGAGTCTGAAATCTTATGGTTCAAAGCCAGCCCAGACAGGAAAATCTGTGAGAATCATCTCCAATTAACCACCAGAAAACCAGAAATGGAGCTGTGGTGGCTTAAGTGGTAGAGCGCTAGCCTTGAGCTGAAGAGTTGAGGGACAGCGCCCAGGACCAGAGTTCAAGCCCCACGGCCAAAAAAAAAAAAAAAGTGTCATGGACAGCTTCCTTCCTGGGCAGGCTTTGAACTATGATCCTCAGATCCCAGCCTCCTCAGTAGCTAGGATTATCGGTGTGAGCCTCCAGTGCCCAGCCCTGGGTGTTTATATTTTCTAGTAAATATAAATAAGATGAAATGCTGTTCTTCTGGAACTTCAGAGACAGGCATGTTGGCAAGGATTTCTAGTATCAAAGTAATTCAAATGCTATAAGGATGGCAAAGATAAATTGCTGTGAAATTGTATAGGAATGACTTGTGTGTGTGAGCACTGGGGGTTGAACTCAGAGCCTCAGTACTGTTCCTTGGCTTTCTCACTCAAGACTGGTATTCTGCAACTTGAGCTACAAATGCATTTTTGGCTTTTTGGAGAGAAGAGTCTCACAGGCTTTCATACTGAGGCTGGCTTTGAACCAAGATCCATAGATCTTAGCCTCCTGAGTAGCTAGGATTACAGGCATGAGCCACTAACACTTGTGTTAGGAGCAATTTATTCTTACCAGGGAAACTACAGGAAAATATCTTGGCAGAGGTATTATTAGAAAAGATGAAGGACTTGTAACAGACTTTGAAGGATATGAAGAATTTTCAGATGCAATTGACCTGGAAGTGCTCCCACTACAGATGAATGGATCAAAAATTGTGGTATCTATGTACAATGGAATATTATGCAGCCATTAGAAAGGACAAAATAATGACATTGATAGGGGAATTGATGGAACTAGAACAAATCATTTTGAGTGAGATAAGCCAAGAGCAGAGACACAAGTGACACATGGTCTCCCTGATATGTGGATGTTAAATCCAAAATGCAAGGAGATATGACAAAGCAAACAGGACTGGAGAAACAAACTTGTATCTTTTCTAAATGACTCCATGTTCTTGACAACGTGTGTGTATGTGTGTGCACGCGTGCACACACGCACATCTGAGGGAAGCTAGGGGGAGGGCACAGAATCAGAGGGAAACAGGGGAAACATACAGCAGGGGGCCCATCAGCTGCACTGGACATTGATGAAAACAAACTAAGCAACTCAAGGGCAGCGATGGGAGGGAGGGAATGAGAGGGACAGAGGAGACAGCTTACACTAAGCAAAAGGAAAGAAATGTATATATCACCTGATGTGGAAGAAATACTTGTATAGTCAAAGCTCATAGAATGCACAAACATTATAGGCCATGATAATGACAATTTCCCTTGTGAAGGTTAAAATGTGTTTGTGATTTAACTAAGCATCACTATCTCACAATATTGGGAAATTTGTGAAATTTGCAGAGGGGAACAAGCTGGCGATGGAACAGTAGGGAAACACTACAGCTCTCTGCAGCCAAATAGAGAGTTCAAGTTCCAGTGCTCCATTTCCACAAGAGACGGACAACAGCAAAAAGACGAATACCCAGAGAAACACAGGAAGTGAAAAAAGAAAAGGAAAAATCTTCAGAATCTGCACAAAACCGAAAAGTGTAAAGACCCTTCCCCCATCCCTTGCTGGTGGTGCAACTCTGCACCAAATGATGGCCCCGCCTGGCCCGGGGCTGCCGGAGACCCCAGAACTCCAGTGGGCCATCCGCAGAACACCAGTGCAGAAGACCTCCAAGGTACCAGTGCCTGACCTGGAGATTGTAAAGAGACAGAAACCTCTGAGCTTAGAACATGCACAAACACCCTTCTCTCACCCCTCACTGGCAGAGCAGCTCCCTGCCATCACCCCAGAGTGGCCTGGCCTGGAGCCACTGGAGTAGGAGGTCAGGGCAAAATATGCCCTTGACATCAACCCAGACAACATAAACAGAGGCAGAGACAGCGTGAAACCCAGACCCAGAGCCCCCACCACTACCCAGCCCAGCCCACGATCATCTCAATGGAACACATAACATGGTGCTGACCAGTGACCTAGAGAACACAGAAACAGCGATCTGCCGCAGCAGCGGTGGACAGCTTCCAACCAATTCCAGGATAAGTGATTATGCCATGGGGGATGGCCTCTCCCCCACCCCCAGGAGACTAGTACTTGCGGTAACCTCCAGAGCTTAACCCGGACTCTTCCCCCTACCACCTGGCCCACTGGGCCCACTGAAGCTGGGAACTGTGCAAGTGCCTCACCAGCCTGTGGAGCACACCCAGCCCACCCAGCTTGACAAGAGCACCCCTGGGAGGGAGCAGGAACACTCAAGCCAGGAATAGCATCTGCAGGCCACTGCAGCCAGCAGAAGAAGAAATCTGATCTGTGTGCCCTGCGTGGGAGACCCAGCAATCCAGGTTCCACCAGAGCCCCAACCAGTGTGTCCTGGGTTGGGGACCGGGAGCCCAGGCTGGCCTGGGGAGCAGGAGCCCCAACTGCCTAAACCATCTGTTCCGATTGAAGTCAGGAGCTGAGTGAGTGCCTCAGCAGAGAGTGTAGTGTGTGTGCCCACCAGAATCTAATAAGAGTGAGCAGCTGGAGGTTGGCCCCTCCCCCAGCAGAAACAAGACCTGGTAAAGACTCTCAGCCAACCCAGGGCCAAGAGCGAGCTTCATCAATTGATCCAGGAACCAAGCCAGAACCAAGCAGACAACCACCTATTAACCAAAACAGTCAGTTTGAGATTCATCTCTAATAATTCCTGAATCCCTATGCAGAAATCACAGCAAAAAAAAATTACAAGATTCATCAACAGCCAAGACAGCAAACAATCCCCAAAGGCCTGCAGCCACCCAGGGAAGAACTCCAATGAAAGTGAAAAAGAAATGGAAGACAAACACTATATCCAGGAGATGATAGAGCCAATGACTCAAGAATTAAAGTGAGGGCTGGGAAGGTGGCTCAGTGGGAGAGTGCTTGCCTTGCATGCATGAGGCCCTGGGTTTGATTCCTCAGCACCACATAAGCAAAAAGAAAAAAAGCTGGAAGTGGCACTGTGGCTCAAGTGGTAGAGCACTAGCCTTGAGCTGAAGAGCTGAGGGACAGTGCCCAGGCCCAGAGTTCAGGCCCTATGACCGGAACCAAAGAAAAAAAAAAGAGAGGGGGCCAGGAAGGTGGCTCAGTGGTACAGCACTTGCCATGCATGCATGAGGCCCTGGGTTCAATTCCTCAGCACCACATATAGCAGAAGAAGTCAGAAGTGGTAATGGGACTCAAGTGGTAGATTTTAAACAAGAGATGCATTCAAAAATAGACGCAGTACACACCTAACTCAAAGACAATATTAATACTCTGAGAACTGACATAGAAATCATAAATAGTTCAATTTCCTCCATGCAAACCATAGTTAACTGAGTGAATGAAACAGAAAGTAGAATATAGGTTCTGAAGACAATGCAGCAGCTGGAAAAAAAGTTACAGATATGGAAAATCCACCCAAAATATGACAAAGGGAAGTCCAAGAACAAGCAGACTGTGCCAACAAATTTAACCATATAATTGGGGTGGATGAAGCTGAGGAATATCAGAATAAAGGAATGCAACAATTATTCAATAAGATTACCACAAAAAATTTCCCCAATCTTAAAAGAGAAAATCTTACCTAGATAATAAGCATATAGAACATCTAACAAACAGGATCCCAGGAGGAACACTTCTAGGCACATTAGAGTAAAAACGGTAAATCTGAATAATAATCTTGCACACAGCAAAAGTGAAGAAGGAGCTATACTACAATGGTAAAAAATCGGAATCATGCAGATCTCTCACACAGACACTGAATGTAAGGAACGCCTGGGAAAGTACCATCTGAGTCCTGAGAACCAGTAACTGCCAACCCAGATTGGTATATCCTCTGAAGCTAGCATTCACATTCGACAGAGAAGCTAAACATTTTTTTTTATTGTGAAAATACTGTACAGAGGGGTTACAATTACATGGGCAAGATAATGAGTACATTTCTTATCAAGCATTGTAGCCTCCTTTGTTTCCCCTTCCCATCCCTTCCCATCCTCCCTCCGTTCCCCCACCCAATCCTCCCTGCCCCCCCCACACCAAAGTTGTAAAGTTCGTTTTTGGCATAACGACTTGTACATCTCATTGTTGCAATGGGTCCACCTGTATCCCTATTTAAACGATTTGTTTAAAAATTTTAATAGTAAAGAAAAATGAAATGAATTCATAAATAAGCCAGCACTACAAAGAATATTAAGAGGGGGAATATAATCTGAAGAAAACAATCAAGACCAAGGATCCACATCAGATATCACTAGAAGACCAACTTAGTAAGCACAGGAGGGAAGGAAAGAAGAAAAAGTTAAGAAAGCAGGAAAATGACAGGAAACAATGTACCTCTCTACAATAATCATAAATATCAATGGGCTCAATTCACCAATCAAAGGAAAAAGAATTGCAGATTGGATCAGAAAACAAGATCCATCCACTTGTTGTCTTCAAGAGACCCATCTCACAGCCAAAGATAAAAACAAACCTCGAGTGAAGGGATGAAGATGTACCATGCAAATGCTCCCAGCAAGAAGGCAGAAGTACATTAAAATAAAAAGTTTCTGCACAGCTAAAGACATAGCAACCGAACTAGGAAGACAGCCAACTAATTAAGAAAATATTTACCAGCAATATCTCACAAAGGCCTAATATCCATTATATACACGGAACTCAAGAAACCAATCCACCGCAAATCTAACAAACCAATCATTAAATGGGCAAGGGAGCTAAGGAGAGACTTCTCAGAAGAGATAAAATGGCAAAGAAACACAGGAGGAAATGTTCACCATCCCTGGCTGTAAAGGAAACGTAAATAAAAACAACCCTGAGATACCACCTTACACCAGTCAGAAAGGCCCACATCCTAAATTCAGCCAACAATGAATGCTGGAGGGGATGCGGAGAAAGGACCCGTATTGCATTGCTGGCAGGAATGTACACTAATCCAACTGCTTTGGAAAGCAGTCTGGAGGCACCTCAGAAAGCTACATATAGACCTCCCCTAAGACCCAGCCATAGCACTCCTAGCCATCTACCCTGAGCAACAGGAATCAGGATACAAGGACACATGCACCTCCATGTTCACTGCAGCACTGTTCACAATAGCCAAGATATGGAAATAACCCAGCTGCCCCACTACAGATGAATGGATCAAAAAATTGTGGTACCCATATACAATGGAATATTATGCAGCCATTAGAAAGGACAGAATAATGGCATTTGCAAGGAAATGTATGGAACTAAAACAAATCATTTTGAGCGAGGTAAGTCAAGAACAAAGAGACAAATGGCACATGGTCTCCCTTAATATCTGGATATTAGGTCCAAAATGCAAGGAGATAGGACAAAGTAAACAGGACTTGCGAAACAAAGGACCTCCACTCATTTTGTCATATCATTACTAAATGACTCCATGTTTTTGACCACATATATGGTATATGTGTGTGTGTGTGTGTGTGTGTGTGTGTGTGTGTGTGTGCACATCTGAGGGAAGCTAGGAGGAGGGCACAGAATCAGAGGGAAATGGGATCAAATACAACAGAGGGCCCATCAGCTGCACTGGACATTGATGAAAATGAACTAAGCAACTCAAGGGCAGCGATGGGCTGGGAGGGAATGAGACGGAAAGAGGGAACAGCTTACACTAAGCAAATGGAAAGAAAAGTACACATCACCAGACATGGAAGAAATAGTTGTATTGTCAAAGCTCATAGAATTCACCCACTTTATAGACCATGATAATGTCAATTTACCTTGTGAGGGTTCAAATGTGTCTGTGACTTTAGCTTAACATCACTATCTCACAATATTGTGAAATTTATGTATTCACTTAATCACAACAAAAATAAAAAAGTTGGTGAAATTTTTGTAGTCACTTAATCTCAATAAACAATTATTTATAAAAAGATATGGGCGCTGATAAGAGTGTTAGAATTAGAACTCTGCATAACATGTGGTGCTGCATCTGTTGTCCCAGCTACTGGGGAGGTTACAGCAGGAGGATTGCATTAGACTCAAGAGTTCGCTGTCAGCCCAGACAATATAGTGAGAACCCTTACCCCCCCATCTTTATGTGTGCGTGAGGACCAGCTATCGTGGAACATAGTGGTTTGTGGTAAGGCACTCAGTAAATCATACTTCATGGAAGAAGGAGGTACACGGCTACTTGGGCAATGGCAAATAGAACTGGGGCGGGTGGGGATTCAAAAATATCAGTGGTCATTATTAGGTAGGTATTTTAAGGGTTGTCATTTTCATTGCTAAAGCTGACGCTGAATTTGTACCCAAAGTCAATGATTGGACATAAATAGGCAAAGGAGCAATATTAGAAAGTTTTATATTGCAGACATGCTATGTTTAGGGCAGTTTGGATGGGTGGCATTGCACAATGGGTATTGTACCTTTCCATATGAATTAAGAGGTACAATTTATTTTAAAACAACGCCTATCCCTTTAAAAGAAAACGGGAAGTAGCGGGGTCGGGTACCAAATTTGGCATTGCCCCTTGCCCCCTCGTGCACACAGAGTTCCGTAACTGCGCTGAGCGCTACTGCGCAAGCCCAGAAGCCATCTTAGAAGTGGGAGGCTCGTGCCCCTTGGGTCCGGCGCCTCAGTCTCCGGTGCACGGCGTTGGAGGTGCATGTGCAGCCCTGCACGCGTCTTCCAGCCGCTGGCATTGAGACCTGTGCCTTCCCGGGCACCGTTGCCCTTACTTTACTATGTCTGAGCAGCGGGGTAAGCGACCCTCTTTGCCGTCTCATTAGCGTTTGTCCCCGGGGGTGTGAGGGGTCCGACTGCACCCAGTTTTTAATGGCCACACAGGCATGGTTAGGCTTTTCTCCATGCAGACCTTTGGCCTCCAACAGCCCTGCCCCTACTTCATGGGTGCCCGGGAGTATGGGCACCATGGGATGGGCGAGGTTATCTTGGAGCATTAGTTTCGGGGAGTCCGGGTGCTTGAGGTTGTGTAGGCTTTGGGCGCATCTCAAAAGTTTGCGTCATGGGGTTGGTAGCTCGGTGTTCCGGGGTTGGTGGGGCTGCGACGGTGTTGGGTGCTCCCGGAGTTCTAGGGGTTCAGGTGAAACTCAAGCTGGCAGGGTTTCGGGGGAAGCCTAGGGTTTGCAGCATGTAGGGTTTGCAGTTTATCTTGGGTTCATGGCGACTTGGGGTTTCAGGTGGAATGTCGGAGCTGAATCTGGGGTTCGTGGTGCCCTATGGCACCTCACGGCACCTCGCGGCACCTCGCGGCTCGCAGTGTAGCTAGCACTTATGGCGTCTGGGGACTTGGGAGGCAACTTGGGGGGTCGTAGCGCCACCTGGCAGCTCGTGGCATGAGGTGTAGCTAGGGTTATGGCGTCTTGGGACTTGGGGGAAACTTGGGGACTGTGGCGCCTCATGGCGGCTGGCGACACGTCACGTGCAGCTAGGGCTTCGGGCATCTCGGGACTTGGGGCAAAGTTGGAGGTCTGGCGCCTCATGGCGGCTCGCGGCACGTGACGTGCAGCTAGGTGCTTAGAGTGTCTTGGGACTTGGGGGGTCAGGAAACTTGGGGGTCGGGTGCCTCATGGCTGCTCGCAGCGTGTGATGTGTAACTAGGACTTTATGGCGTCTTGGGACTTGAGAAACTTGGTCTGGCGCCTCATGGCGGCTCGCAGCGCATGATGTGTAGTAATGGCTTATGGCGTCTTGGGACTTGGGGGTCCGGTGCCTCATGGCGGCTCGCGGACTGTGGTGTGTACCTAGGGCTTATGGCGCCTCGGGACTTGGGGGCAACTGGGGGTGATGGCGCCTCTGTGGGCTCCGGTGAACGGCGTCTCAGAATGTTTGAAGAATCTAGGGTTTACGAAGTAGCGGTAGGGCATCAGTGAAGGTACGCTCTGCCGGGAGCGCCCGTTCTGAGGTGAACCTGGAGTTTGCAGCGTCCTGAGGTGGGAGGTAACTAGGGCTGGTGATTTCCGGATATGGAGGCGGAGCAATACTGGATTACCCAGGAGCCTGTAGGGATGGGTTGGTTCTTCCCGCTTTCATGAGGGCGGGAGGGCGGGAAGCGGGAAGAGCTAGAGAGTATGAGTGCAGCTGAGAAGACCGGAAGCAGGAAGGCGGGGCTCTGGATTCCATTGCTCCAGCACTCAAGTCTCTAGCGCTGCTTCGCTAGCGCTGTAGCTGCCGGGCTGTCTGACTACCTTTTTTTTTTTTTTTTCCTGAGGAGAGAGTCTCATTCACCGCTGGCCACCAACCTTTTTATTCTCCTGCCTCCGCCTTAGTACCGGGATGGCAGGCATTTGTCAACTTTGAGCTTTTATTTTTCTGGTTCTGAGGTTTGAACTCTGGGCCTGGGGCTGTCCCTGAGCTCTTCAGCTCAAGGCTAGCACGCTGCCACTTGAGCCACAGCGCCACTTCTGTGCGGCTTTTTCTGTGATTAATTGGAGATAAGTCTAACAGACTTTACTGATGGGCTGGCCTTGAACTACCATCTTTAGATCTCAGTCTCCTGAGTAGCTACGATTACAGGTGTGAGCCACCCGTGCCTAACTGAACAATTCCCCACCCCTTCGTTTTTGAGACAAGAGCTTACCATTTAGCCCAACTGCCTTAGAAACCCCAATCCTCCTGCCTCAACTGCCCAAAAGTTGAGATTACAGGCTTGTACAACCCTACAAACTTAATTTTATTTTTCGTGTGTGACTTTTGGGTTTAAAATTAGAGCCTCTCTGTGTGTGTGTGTATATATATGCACAGATATGTATAAACATGTATATTTGCTAAACTTATTAATTGTATACCACAGTTCCATTTCAGGCTTTTTGGTGGCTAATTAGAGATAATGAAAGATCTGCTTTTCCCCTCTTGGCCCAATCTTTTTTTTTTGTCAGTCCTGTGGCCTGAACTCTGGGCCTGGGCGCTGTCCCTCAGCTCTTCAGCTCAAGGCTAGCACTCTACCACTTAAACCACAGCACAACTTCTGGCTTTTTTCTGCTTATGTGGTGTTGAGGAATCGAACCCAAGGCCTCATGCATGAGAGGCAAGCATTCTACCACTGAGCCACCTTCCCAGTCCATTGGGCCAATCTTTTTATGTATCTAAAGATGGAATAAGAAAAAAAGATGGAATTGGAAGGATTGATTCCTGCCTTATTCCTCAGGGTCATGCAAAGCACCAGGTATGTGCTCACATGCTTGTCCACAGGCAGGTCATTCCAACGTTGGCCCCCAGAAGACCATAGCCTCCATCCCAACATTCCACTGTGGGTCTGGCCAAAGACATTGTTCTTGATCCCAAGGAGACCATAACCCATTTTTAAATTCTCTACTTCCTTGTGAAGCCTTATATAAGCCCCCCCCATCCAGTTCCTTGCATAACCTCCAATCGTGGGAGAAGGTCTGTGCCCCTTGCTGTTCCTCAATAAACAGTCCTTGCCTGTTCACCATCTAGTCTGGACCATTCCTTTTCCATTTTCCCTACTGGTAAGACTCATATACTTTGGTGCCCAGCCTGGGTTTGACTGCAATCCTCCATCCTCAGCCTTCTGAGTAGTTATGAGCCACCAGTGCCTGGGCTCATTTTTTTTTGGTGCATAATTTTTCTTAAATTAGAAGATATTTATTGCTCCAATGAAGAAATTTATTGCTCTATTGGAAATACTAGAAAACAATAGGCTGTGTTTATATGTAATGCATTTATTTTTCAAAGCTTCATCTTAAGTGATTTATTTGTTAGCTGAATTGGAATGCTTATAGATATAAAATTGCTTTGTACAGTTTTTCAGCTAAAATATGTTTTTAAAATAACTCAGAACTTTACAGAAACTGTTTAATGTGGTATCTAATTTAATCATTCTTTTGTCTTATACTTAGATTATATTGTTGTAACTGTTGAGAGTGACAGTGATGATAATAGCAATCATGGCCATAGTGAAGTCATGCTGCTACAGGAGTCTGCATCTGAGGCTTTGTCAGACGGACACACTATGGGCACATCCAGTGATGAATCAGCAGTCATACAAGCAGATTTCCAAGATTATGACCATCAGCAACAGTTCCAACTGGCATCTGGTAATTTTGTTAAATTTCCTTCTGTGTGAAATTTTTGTATCTGATCTTCATTTCTAGTAATCAGTTAAATCTTTGTATAACCTTTACAATAGTTTGTTGCAAGAGGATTGAATTTTGTGACAGTATCGTAACATTTACTTGTGCTTGAATTTTCCCTTATTTAAGCTTTGACATATCTCACTTTGCACTTTACTATATGGGGAATAGCCTCAGAAAGCAATGGAGGGAATGTAGTCTTTCTCTGAGAAATCATATTTATATCTGGCAGGTATAGTTATAAAGATTTAGTAGCAAAATGAGAGTGAAAAGTAAAGTTGAACTTTTAGGAAAAACAGGTTGGGTGGAATCCATGGAAGAATGAGGGAAATGATTACTGATGTAGAAAATCTCAGAGAAGCCACAAAAATATTCTTATCTAAGAAGTAATTATTTTTGTGATATATAAAAATACTTCACTACAAAGGAGCAGTGAACAACTAGAGTTTCAAATTAAAAAAACAGTAGCATTTACACTAGCAACAAAAAGTATCCACAGGAAGTGAAGTCCCACAATCTGAACTGCTGTAGCTACTTGACCTTCTAGTTGTTGTTTCTCACCCACAGTAATGAAGGAAATGCATGACCATTTGTGTCCTTTAGTTAAGAAATTGGGTTTTCAGCTGGGCATTCGTGGCTCCTGCCTGTGAGATTCTCAGATATTCTGGAGGATGAGACTTGGAGGATAGCAGTTCTAGGTTAGCCCTGGCAGAGAAGTTTGCTAGACTCCATCTCTATAATAACTAGCAAAAAACAGGGTTGGAGGTATGCCTCAAGTGGTACAGTGTCAGCCTAACAAGCCAGATGCCTTGAGTTCAAAACCTAATACTACCAAAATAAAAAAAATAGGTTTCCTGTCTTTAAGTCATTGCTTAGGTGGAGATTTGCAAACTTTTTCTGCAAAGGTTCAGAAAAATTTTAGTCTTCAACTTTTAACTTCCATTACAGTACTAGAAGCTGCTGACATGTTAACACATAGGTGTGACTGGTTCAGTAAACTTTGAATTTCCTGTTTTTCCCATTTTGTGAAACCTCTGCACTCTCTTCTCCCCTTCTCTTTCCTCTCCCCTCTCTTCTTACCATTCCCTTTCCCCTCTTCCTTTTCCCTTCTCCCCTCCTTTCTTTTCTATGTTCTCCCTGCTTGAACTCAGTCTCATGCTCTCTCTGGGCTTGTTTGAACACAATGGTACTCCTGTTTCTCTACCACTTGAGCCATGCCTCTGGCCTAGTGTTAGCTAGTTAATTGGAGATAGAATCTCATAGACTTTCCTTTTTATTATTAATCTTTAAGTTGTTGTACAAAGGGGTTTCAGTTCAACGTGTCAGTTTGAGAGTACTTTGTATCTTTTTTTAAAAATAAGTTTTTTGTGAAAATACTGTACAGAGGGGTTACAGTTACATGAGGAAGGTAATGAGTACATTTCTTATCAAGCATTGTTGCCTCCTCCCTTGTTTTTCCCCTACCATCCCTTCCCTCCAACCTCCACAACTACACTCCCCCAGCCCCAGTACCTTGCATCTTGATTCATATCAACCCTCTCATGGATTTTTCTGCTTGGGCTAGCTTTGAACTGGAATCCTCCAGGTTTAAGTCTTCTGAGTAGCTAGGATGAAAGGAGTGAAACACTAGAGCTTGGCTATGAAACATTCTTTAAAAAAATTAAAATATGAAGGAAAAGACTCAATATTTTTAGCTTATGGATTATATAAAGCAGCAAGATGAATTTGATGTCCAGGCTATGCTTAATGATATCTGATCTAACTAATGCCCAGAAGTCATTTGACACCACTTGTCTATTTTATTTTTATTTATTTATTTTTTATTGTGAAAATACTGTACAGAGAGGTTACAATTACATGGGCAAGATAATGAGTACATTTCTTTTTTTTTGGGTCCAGTTCTGTGGCCTGAACTCTTGGCCTGGGCGCTGTCCCTCAGCTCTTCAGCTCAAGACTAGCGCTCTACCGCTTGAGCCACAGCACCATTTCTGGCTTTTTTCTTTTTTGCTTATGTGGTGCTGAGGAATTGAACCCAGGGCCTCAGGCATGCAAGGCAAGCACTCTACCACTGAGCCACCTTCCCAGCCCCAATGAGTACATTTCTTATCAAGCATTGTAGCCTCCTCCGTTGTTGTTTTTTTTTTTTTGTCGGTTGTGGATCCTGAACTCTGGGCCTGGGCGCTGTCCCTGAGCTCTTCAGCTCAAGGCTAGCACTCTACCACTTGAGCCACAGCGCCACTTCCAGCTTTTTCTTCTTATGTGGTACTGAGGAATCGAACCCAGGGCCTCATGCAAGCAAGGCAAGCACTCCATCACTGAGCCATCTTCCCAGCCCGAGCCTCCTCCTTTGTTTCCCCTTTCTATCCTCCCTCCACCCCCCATCCAATCCCCCCCCCCCCCCCCCCCCCACTCCAAAGTTGTAAAGTTCGTTTTCGACATAAGGACTTGCACATCTCATTGTTGCAATGGGTCCACCTGCACTTGTCTATTTTAGTCTTAAGACTGTGCAGGAGCAGTAGGACATTCCCTTTCTGTGTCATAGAACATCTGACTGACTCTAGCAGACCTCTATTGGGAAAGACCTGGGGGAGAATCCTTACCTATCAAAATCACCACATTTCAGAAACACATGAAAAATATTCAAGTGCATTTATAATGAGAGATATGCAAATTAAGTGGGGGCACAAACTGTAAATCTTTATCAGGTTATCATTTTTTCCTATTTTTCAATTAAGATTTTTTATTACCATATAGTAATTGCACAGGGGCGGTTTTATTGTGCCATTTTTACACATTCATATAGTACAGTACATCTGCCTTATCCTCCTCCATCACATTCCCATATACTCTTTTTCCTTCTTAAAACAATTTCAGCAGGTTTCAAGAACTTTCATATATGCACATAATATTAATTCACTTTAATGGTAATAGAATGAGCTAGTACAACTTTTTTTTGACATTTTAGGAACATTTGTCAGAAGCACTTAAAATATTTCTAGCCTTTGACCTTATGATTCATCTAGATATATATTATAAGGAACTCTTCAGAGATAAACAAGAATGTTTCATCATATGAAGAAATAGTGAAAAATTAGAAGCCATATAAATAATGCCCATAATAATATAACCTATGGCTATCTGTAAAATAAAATACTTTGCAGACATTAAATATTTTAAAAATTATGTGACATGCAAAATTGCTTAGAATATATGTAGTATGATTTAAATATATAAGAAAAGGAGAGGGATGCTCAATGCCAGTGGCTCATACCTGTAATTCCAGCTACTCAGGAAACTGGAATATGAAGATTGTGATACAAAGCCAGTCCAGTCATAAAAGTTTGTGAAACTCTTGTCTCCAATTAACTACCAAAAAGCCAGAAGTGGAGCTGTGGCTCAAATGGTAACAGTGTCAGCCTTGAGCACAAAAGCTGAGAGATAGTGCTCAGGGTTTGAGTTCAAGCCCCAGGACTGGCATAAAAAAAAGAAGAAATATCTAAAACTTTATATTTATTGGTTGTGACTACTTTCTCAACTTAGGTTTTGAATTTCTTTTTTGTGCCAGTCCTGGAACTTCAACTCAGCCTGGGCACTGTCCTTTAATTTTTTTTCTCCTCAAGGTTGATGCTTTACCACTTCTAGCCTTCTGGTCCTTAATTAGAGATAAGAATCTGGTGGATTTTCCTGCCTATGCTGGTCTTAAATCATGATTCTCAGATCGCAGCCTTTTTTTTTTTGCCAGTTCTGGGGCTTGAACTCAGCCTGGGCACTGTCCCTGAGCTTCTTTTGCTCAAAGCTGGCACTCATCACTTGAGTCACAGCGCCAGTTCTGGCTTTTTCTGTTTATGTGGTACTGAGGAATCTCTACCACTAAGCCATATTCTCAGCCTCAGCCTTCTTAATAGCTAGGATTCAGGCATGAGCCACTGGTGCCTGATTAAGTTTTTGAATTTTAAAAAATAAGTAGCTGAATTGTTTTCTACAGTATTCCAGGGCTTGAATTTAGGATCTTGTATTCTACATCAACTTTTCCAGCTCAAAGCTGGTACTCTTACCACTTGGGCCATACCTTCAGCCAAATGAGGCTATCTTTTGGTGCTGGTCCTGGGGCATAAACTCAGAGCTTGGGCATTGTCCCCGAGTTTTTGTGCTCAAGGCTAGTGTTCTACTACTTGAGCTATTGTTCCACTTCTGTCTTTTTGCTGGTTAATTGGAGATAAGAGTCTAATAGATTTTCTTGTCTGGGCTGGCTTCAAACTATGATTCTCAGACCTTAGCCTCCCGAGTAGCTAGAATCAAGATGTGAGCCCCTGGTGCCCAGCCCTGCCTGGCTTTTTGCTGGTTATTATGAGTTGTAGCCTCTCATTTTCTGACTAGATCTGAGATTCTCAAACACTGAGGAGTATTATAGTTGTGAGCCACCAGTGCTTGGCTAGGAGCAGAATATTTAGATTAAGTTTTTGTAAAAAGTATATTACAAAATTTTATACACAGCACATATATATATATATATATATCAGGTAATTTTCATATTAATGCATGCGTATGATCAGTACCAATAACAACAAATAGAAGCCTATGAGCTTTGCAAATTCTGTTCTTGTTCTCTTCTAGTCACTAATCCCATTCTCCTACCATAGATTACTTTTGCCTGTTTTAAAGCTTTCTCTAATCCAAACCATTTACAGTTTTCTCTTTGGTGTCTGAATTCTCTTAGACAAAGTCAAAGTTGTGAGATTCATCATTGCTCAGAGCACAGTTTGGCTGTTTATTATCATTTTTTGAAATTTTCTTTGTATAGATCTGCTGCAGTTTAATTACTCATAGCTCTTATTAGTTTCAACAGAAAAATTCAGAGAACCAAAAAAGGGATGGAAATTTCATACATTGGAAGTGTTTAATCATTTGAAAAATTTATATATTAGTTTGTATTTATCTAAGTTGAGCAATAACTCTCCCATCCTTTTAATCTTTTGGTTTCTCTCCTGTGGCTTGTACATTAATATCTCCACTATATAGCAGGAACAGAAAGCTGTGCATAGGATGGTTGGGATGAATTAGCTTTTTCACTAACACATCTCTCACAGTAACTATGGGGCAAGTGTTCAGATCACACCCTGTAGTACAAGGCAGATGACCATGTGGAATGAGTCAATGTCTTGTTCTATCTCATACCATAATTAAGACTCAGGCATAGTCTAACCTTCAGAACTCGTTGTTTACTCATATATTTATTTCACATCCGTTTATTCAGGCTCATTATAAAAGCTAACTAATAAAGCATCCATAACTTGGGGCAGAAGTGAACTTAAAGATATTTTTAACAATGTTCTGGGAGGTAAGGAGGTATGCGGTATATCCCAGGTGTTCAGGCTCCTTGCAGTTGTGGGGTGGGGGAGGGGCCGCCAGGACTAGACTCCTGGGTAGGCACCCCTATGAGCTCCTTCATAAAAAAAGGCCTAAGTAGTAATTTTCTGGTTATGTTTCCAGCATTTGCTGTGTAGACTTGAACTGTAAAGCACTTGCTTCCCAATTTGGAATTTCATTTAACTGTGATTTTTTTCTTGTCAGGTGCTTTGGTACTCTTTAGTTCTGAGGGTAGAGCTCAGCGGGGAAAGTGCCCGACTAGCTTGGCATGGACAGCACTGGGTTTCTTTACATCTCTGCAAAACAACAGTAACAAGGACTTCTAAGTTGTTCCTGGGAAAGTTCTTGTTTTGTCAGTTTCTAAAATTCAACCAGTATGTAAATTGCCTTTCTTTAATGGGTTGTTTTTCAGGAGAGGGTACATCCCAAGATGACCAAGCAGTGCCCCAAGTGAACTTGGAAACATTAAAAAGACCTAACATTAACTTTGTGGATGTTCCACAAACCAAAAGAGGACGGCAGTCTACTGAATTAGAAGATAAAATGGTTTGTATACCAAAGTGAAAGTCCTTTTTTGTTCTCATTATGCTTAATTAAAAAAATTGAGCTTAATTTCATAAAGTAAAATGTGTGGGTCTTAACTGTGTAGTTCAATGAGTTTTCATATGTCATACTCCTTTTAAAATAAGGAACATTTCTAGTCAGCTCATAAATTTCCCTCTTGCCTCTTCACAGTAAGTCCCCATTCTCCCTAATCTTAGGGAGGAGTAGTTTTTCCATCCTATGTTAGTTTTGCCTGTTCTACAACTTCATATAAATAGAATTGTAAAAGTAGAACATGTATAAATAGAATTGTCTGTTTTTGGTTACAGTCTCTTTTCTGGTACTTTCTTTTGTGGTATTAACACTTCATTCTCATTTATTGTTCAGTAACATTACTATGAATATTCATAATTTGTTGCCCTCCCTGTGATGGACATTTGAGTTATTTCCAGTCTTTGAGTAGTATGAGTAAAGTGGCTTATGGAAATTTCTTTGCAAGCATACCATGTTTGTTTGTTTGTTTTTGATTGGTCGTGGGACTTGAACTCTGAGCCTGGGCACTGTCCCTGAGCTCTACTTGAGCCACAGTACCACTTCTGGTTTTCTGGTGGTTTACTGGAGATGAGAGTCTCATGGACTTTCCTGCGAGGGCTGGCTTTGAACCGCCATCCTCAGATCTCAGCCCCCTGAGTAGCTAGGATTACAGGTGTGAGCCACCAGTGCCTGGTGGCTTGAGCTTTTTTGTTCAAGCTAGCACTCTACCACTGAGCCACAGCCCCACTTCTGGTTTATGGTTGTTAATTGGAAGATAAGAGTCCAAGGTTTTCCTGCTGCAGCTGGCTGTAAATTGTGATTCTCAGATCTCAGCCTCCTGAGTACCTAGGATTATAGGCATTAGCCACTAGCACCCGGCTCTGCAAACATATATTTACATCTAATTTGATTAATTAGGAGTTGAAATGGTCACGGAATAGGTGAAAGCATCACTTTTTAAGCATCTGCCAGTTTTCTGAGGTAGTTGTACTGTTGTAGACATCTATCATATTTTGCTGTGTTTCTCTCTGAAGTTGAATAAAATAGATTAAAGTATTTATAGTTTATCTTAAAGGAAACTCTAGTTTCATAAGAATGTGAGTATTGATACTGAATAAGTACTATAGGGAATTATTAACCTCACAGTGAATATTTTAATCTTCAGTGGTAAAATTATCTACCAGGTAACATAGGTTTAGGCATAATTATGGGAAAATACCTTGGAAAGCATAAAGCACTATGTAAGTTGTTAAGATTAGTGTATTATTCCATGTTGTATTGGTTGTGTTACTGGTCTTTAATGCTGGGCTAATTCAGGTAATTTTTAATCATGTACTTTCAAACCAAAATATTGATAACTACTTGTTATTGATAACTATTTGTATTAAAATTGTCCTCATATTCCACATTTGTCCTTAGAATAGTTAAGTGTACCTATTAGCTCTCCTTCCAATTAACTTTTTTCTGTCCTATCTCATTCCAAAAAAGGATTTAAAGTGATTTTGAGGTTGGTTTTTCAAGAAAAATAAATGCCTAAGTTATACTTACCTTGTCCACTATGTGTCACTGTTGGATTATTTGAAAATTAGAAATAATTTTTTTTCTTTTTCTTTTTTTTTTTGTGGGTCATGGGGCTTGAACTCTGGGCTTGGGCACTGTCCCTCAGCTCTTCAGCTCAAGGCGAGCGTTGTACCGCTTGAGCCACAGCTCCACTTCCAGTTTTTGAATGGTTTATTGGAGATAAGAGTCTCACGGACTTTTCTTGCCCGGGCTGGCTTTGAACTGTGATCCTCAGATCTCAGCCTCCTGAGTAGCTAGGATTACAGGCGTGAGCCACCAGTACCTGGCAGAAATAATTTCTTTTAAAGCAGTAATAGTCCTTACTTTTTCTCTTCTTTGAAATACAGGAGATGTTAAGCTTGGTAGAAATGGTGTCTTTAGGGTATTTCAGTTAATGAAAACACAGTACTCCAAATTCATCTTTTCACGTTGCTGTGGAATTTGCAATCAGTTCTTCAGTATAACAAATTGGGCCTTGATGCTTCTTGAAAACGTAATAGATATCCTAGATTCTCCTTCCAGATTGTTCCAAATTTATAGTCCCCTTTGGGTATTTTAAGTTGTTTTTGCTATTACTGGGGCTTGAAGAGAGTCTTGAACTTGCTAAGGTTTCTTGCTTGTAGCTGGTACTCTACCACTTGAGTCATACCTCCAGCCCAGCTTTTTGTTGGACAGTTGGAGCTGGAGTCCAAATGACATTTTCTGCCCAAGTTTGCTTCCAACCATGATTCTCCAGATCTCAGCCTTCTGAGTAGCTAGGATTATAGGCTTCTACCTTCAGTAGCTTTTCTTAAACTGAAATTCTTACATATTTTTTTCCTTGTCCCTTCTTTATTAATAAGTATTTTTTCCTTTCTCAAATTTTCATATGAGTGGGAGTTTTGATTTTATTTTATCTTTATATTATCTTAACTGAAATTCTTTGCAATTTAGGAGAAAAATAAAAATAATTAAGTATTTAAACTTTTTTCTAGTGCTTGATTTTGCTCCTAGTGATGTTAAGGCTTGATTATTCCTTTTCATAATGCCTGAATGGGCAAAATATGTCTACGTTTTTCTGTGATTCAAGCAGACTTAGAGACTTCTCACAGAATTGATAAGTTCTTAAGTTTTGTCCTCCTAATGGAATTTTATAAAACACCGAACAAAAATTTATTATATTTAATGCCTATGATACTAGGAGAAGTTTTCTTTTGTTAAATTGTCTATGAGGATTATTGCACTGTGAGACACTATTTTAACAATTATAAGGTACAATAGTATTCTAAGGTGAAATTTTTGAAATAAAAGATAGTTTTATGGCTATGGGTGTGGCTCTGGTGGTAGAAACTCCTGCTTAGCAAGTTCAGGGCCTTGAGTTTCAATCACAGTACTACAAAAACAATATAGTTTTTGTAACTTAATAAAGGCACACAGTTGATGAAGTATAATTAAATCCCTCATCTAGATAGTTTGATGTTTACTTTTTGCATGATAATAATTTATGAAAACTGATGAATATTTTGGATGAAAGTTGCTATGCATTTAAATGTATATCAAGATATCTAAACTGAGACAAAAAAGCACCTCATCAGCTGGACAACGGTGCTCATGCCTGTAATCCTAGCTACTCAGGAGGCTGAGATATGAGGATCATGGGTCAAAGCCAGCCGGGGCAGGAAAGTCTATGAGACTCTTATCTCCAATTAACCACTAGAAAACTGGAAGTGGCACTGTGGCTTCAGTCGTAGAGCACTAGCCTTGAGCTGAAGAGCCAAGGGACAGTGCCCAGACCTAGAGTTCAAGCCCCACAACTGCAAAAAAAAAAAGGGGCATCTCATCAATCTTCTGTAAAGATTTTGTCTTACGTTTTTAAGCAACTTCTGAGAGTGTTTCTGACAGATTGACTATTTGAGTATTTTCATTTTATCTACGAGTAAAAACATAATTTCATGTGATTTTCACATGTGTCATTTCTCTTTTGAAATAGTAACTAATAATTTTAAAAATTATGATAGGCTTTACTCCAACTTATTGAAAGATTGAACGGGCAAGTTAACCAACTTTTTGGAATGGTTTCAAAAATACATCAGTTTTGGGAGAAGTCACAGGTGCAAAAATGTGTAAGTATTATTAAAACATTTTTACAACTTTGCTAAACTTCTAGCTCCTAAGTATATCAGTCAACTAGTATCGTCAAGGCTATTCTGTCCCTGCTGTAGTAGCAGATGTGGACTAAAACTTCGTTGGAAGAATGCTACAGTTAGGTTTAATACCTTATAGTATTGAATATGTAATATTAGTAAGTCATGGATAAAATGGAACTAAAATGTAGTGTTTAAGAGGAAAATTAAGAGCCCTGGTCTTGAACCTAAAAAAATGAAAATAAAATTTACACCCAAATGCAGTATTTTAACAATGGAAAATGATGTAGCACAGAAAGGGGATACAAATGTTTCAACCATTTTTTAAATCCTCATTTTTAATCAAAGTTGACATAACTGAGTTTATGTCATTTAAGAGGTGGTGTAGTTGGCAGCTATGTATGATGGCGTGGGTCTGTTATTTCAGTACTTGTGAATTAAGGCAGAAGGGCTCACAAGTTCGAGGCTAGCTTGCAACTACATAGTGAGACCCTGCATCAAAAAACCAGGGGGAAAAAAGAAAATTTTAAAATATTATTTAACTTTTTTTTTTGGTGCTGATAGTAGACCTTTGTGCTCTCACTTGATTTTTCCTCTCAAGATTGTTTCTCTACCATTTGAGCCACAGTTCCACTTCTGGATTTTGGCTACTAAATTGGAGATAAAAGTCTGATGGACTTTTCTGCCCTGGCTGGCTTTGGACTGTGATCTACAGATTTCAGCCTCCTGAGTAGCTAAGATTGCAGGCCTGAGCCACTGGTGCCTGGCAAGTTTTGCTATTTTTTTTAAAAAAGAGAATAATGTGATCATACCTTTCAGGCAAATTGATGTTCAGGAATTGAACTGATGAGGAAAGGTTAACTCATTTTCTCTTATCTTGGACAGGGACATTGTTGCAGATTACTTCAAGATGAAATAATGGAAATCGATGAGCCAGACAGAACTACAGAAACATCTTTTCAGTCAGTTTCATGCTATGAGCAGCAGCAGGAGCAGCAGGAGCAGCAGTTGGTCCTTAGTCAGGACTTATTCCTTCCTAGAATTATTTCTACAAGTTCATTAACATCAGAGGGCTCAGGTACTGATGTTCCTATAGTATCTGATATTTTGGATGAAGCTGAGAGCAGCAACATTGTAATCTCAGATGCCCAGCCTACAATGGCAGCACCTGCAACATTTCTGCTACCACAGGATCCAAGTTTCGCCAATAACCATAATTTTATAAAGTACTCAGCTGTTGTGGAAAATGAGGATACAGCCTTACTGGATCCTGACTTTCCATGTCTCTTGGTGCCTCCTAGTTATGGTAAGTTCAAAGTGTTGTATATTATATATACCATCCTTTAATGTAGGTTTGAAAACTGTTTCATATGGACTAGTTTTAGTCTTTTTTGTTTTGTTTTTTGGTTGGTTGTGGGATTTGAACTTTGGGCCCAGGCGCTGGCCCTGAGCTCTTCAGCTCAAGGCTAGCGCTCTACCACTCGATCCACAGCGCCACTTCTGGTTTTCTGCTGGTTAATTGGAGATAAGAGTCTCACAGACTTTCCTGCCCAGGCTGGCTTTGAACTGTGATCCTCAGAACTCAGCTTCTTGAGTAGTCAGAATTAAGAGGTGTATGCCACTGGAGCCCAGCACACCTGGCTAGGATTTTTTAAAAAAATTTAACTGTATTTAGTATTGAGCATGAGCCTTATGCATACATGCATACATATATATGTGTAAATATATATTTAATTGCATAATGTTGTTTTTATGGTATTTCCATACATCCATGTAATATTATTTGATCATATTCACCCCATCTATTACTTTTTTATAATCTACATTTATTTTTTTTTTCTTGAAGCTAGGCACTGGTGGCTCATGCCTGTAATCTAGCAGCATGTTCAAAATTCACTTTGTCTTGAGTAAAAAAATGTTTAACTATTCCATGAGTCTGGTAATTCCATGTGATTGCTATTTCTATACATAGTATATGATTACTATTTTATGTATTTCCTGAGGATTCCCAAAGACTTTTGGGAATCTGTCATATAATAATCAGAGCAAACCCATGAGTTTGATTAGCTATTTAAAGTAAGACCCTCCATGTGGCTCAGTTTCTGGTGCGTGAAAAACATTCTATACAATCTCCTTGATCTCAGCTCATAAAAAGAGGAATTCTCAGGGAGGGAGGTAATACAATAATTACCCGTATTGGCTGGGAAGGTGGCTCAGTGGTAGAGCACTTGCCTTGCGTGCCTGAGGCCCTGGGTTCGATTCCTCAGCACCACATAAGCAAAAAGAAAAAAGCCGGAAGTGGCGCTGTGGCTCAAGTGGTAGAGCGCTAGCCTTGAGCTGAAGAGCTGAGGGACAGCGCCCAGGCCCAGAGTTCAGGCCCCACGACCGGACTCCCCCCCAAAAACAATAATTACCCGTATTATTTGATAGCCTAGGAAGCCAAAAGATAGAGCAGGCGCATAGAGCAGGGATGCAGAAAAAGGTGTTACTCTAACAGGGGAATAGAAGGACTTAAGAGCACAGGTCAGTCAAGGCAGAAGCAGTCACTGACTGTAATTAGCTTCAATTCAGTAATTACTGCAGGGGTATACAGCAGAGAACTGAGACAGACTGGGCTGGAGCCCTGGGAGTTCTCAGGTTTGCTGGTGATAGCCTTCAGCAGCCTTTGCAGGGAGGGGAGAAGTAGAGACCACCATCCTCATGTGCAGAAAAGATACCTTTAGTCAGTTTGGGCTATTATAAGAAAATGCCACACACAAGGTAATTTATAAAGAACAAAAATTTATTTTGTAACAGTTCTGGAGGCTGGGAAATTCAAGAGCCAGGAACTGGCAGGTCTGATGGTTTGATGAAGGCTGAATCTTCCAGAGAGAACAAAAGTGGTCACTTCACCTGTTGAAAGGAAAGAAAGAGTCTCACTAAACATTGTGCAAAAATACCCTCTTTTACAAGGCCCAAATAAGTAGACCTTATGACATAACCATTGCTCAGATACTCCTTCTTTTAATACTGAATTCAAGGCTGAATTTCTAGAGGGGACCATTCAGACCATGGCAAGTGATATATAAAAGTATACACATATTTAATGTCCATAGTTGGACACATGTATGTGTAGTTATGAGAAACTGCCTATTTTCCAGTGCAGCTTGACCATTTTATATTCCTACTAGTTACACTGTTTCTCTCCATGAGTATTTCTACTCTTTCTTCCTAGTGCTCCAGAATTCCTTCTTCATTATATCCATTATTTTAGGATGGCTAGGATTGGGGAATGAATTTGGTGCCTTGGATTCCCTGGCAAAGTACTTTGTCTCTTGAAGCACACCTCCATTCTTTTGTCTTGCTTAGGGCTGGCTTCAAACTGCTACTCTTCTACCTGTGCCTCCTCAGTAGCTAATATAACAGGCATGTTGTCAGCCTCATAGCCTCATTTCTCTGTCAGTATTGAGATTTAAAAATCAGAGAATTAGGGCCTTCTTGTACTTTTTGTGTGTTTATATTGGGTCTTGAACTGAGAGCCTCATGTTTTTATTTGTCTTTTTTACTAGTAGCTGGTGCTCTCTACCGCTTGAGACCCACTTCAGCCTTTTGGCCGGTTAAGTGGAGATAAGAGATTCTTGGATTCGTCTCACCAGCAAGAAAATCTTGAAATTAAAAAAAGCATAATTAGCTATAATTAGCTATTCAGAAGGATGAGATCTGAGAAAGTTCTAAGCCAGTTTGGACAGACAAATCCTGGAGACTAACCAGCCAGAAGCCAGAAGTGGAGGTGTTGCTTAAGGGGTAGAGCACCAGCTGCTATTGAAACAGCTGAGTGAGAGTTTGGCTTGGGGCTCTTCAGTTCAAGCTCCAGTACTTGTGTGAGTGGTGGGTGCACGCGCGCGCATGCGCACACACACACAATGCACCTTTTAAATTGTAAGCCTGCTTGGGACAATTTTTTTTCTTTTTTGTGAATGTTTTTATTTCTTCCTCTTACTTGAAGGTAAGTTTTGTCTAGTATAGAATTTATGAATGACAGTGTTTGTTTGTTTTTGTTTGTATTTGTCTTACCTGGGGATTGAACTCAAATGCTGGGTACTGTCCCTGAGGTTTTGTGCTCATTTTACCACAGCTTTATTTATTTATTTATTGGTAGTTAATGGAGATAAGAGTCTTACGGGTTTTCCTGTCTGGGCTGACTTTGAAACTGTGGTCCTCAGATCTCAGTTTCCTGAGTAGCTAAGATTACAGGTGGTTTTCATATAGTAACACTTGATTTTTTAATTCATAGAAATGCCAGAAAATGAAGAAACCAACATTCCAGATGACACTGTGCTAGTAAATGTCCCAAATTTTGAGGAAGATGAAGAACAATCTACTAACCTTCTGAATGTCTTCATAAACGAAGATGGTGAGTTTGAATCAATACATATTACAAGTAGTATAACCTCACTAATTTTTTTTTGTTTGATTCTTGAGATCAAACCCAGGGCATGTGCATCCTAGCAAGCACTCTCATCATTGAAGTATATGCTAAGCCACAGATTCATTTACATTCTTCTTTTTTTTTTTGTTGGGTCATGGGGCTTGAACTCTGGGCTTGGGTACTGTCCCTGAGCTCTTCAGCTCAAGGTGAGCACTCTACTTCTAGAGCCATAGCACCACTTTCAGTTTTCTAGTGGTTGATTGGAGATAAGAGTCTCAGGGCCTTTCCTGCCTGGGCTGGCTTTAACCGTGATCCTCAGATCTCAGCCTCCTGAGTAGCTAGGATTACAGGTGTGAGACACCGGAGCCCTGCTAACATTCTTTTTTTTTTTTTTGCCAGTCGGCTTGAACTCTAGGCCTGGGTGCTACCTTTCCCCTCCTACCCTGATCATTTGTGCTGAAGATTAGAGCTACTACTTGAGCCACAGTTTCATTTACAGCTTTTTGTAGTTAATTAGAGATAAGAATCTCTTAGAAGTCTGGTGCTATTGGCTTATACCTATATTCCTAGCTACTTAGGAGGCTGAGATCTGAGGAGTGCAATTCAAAGCCAGTCTGGGCAGGAAAGTCTGTGAGACTCTTATCTACAATGAACTACTCAGAAAAAGCTGGAAGTGGCACTGTGGTTCAAAGTGGTACAGTGCTAACCTTGAGCAAAAAGAAGTTCAGAGTCAGCATCCAGACCCAGAGTTCAAGTCCCTGGTCTGGCAAGAAAAGAAAAATAAAACGAAACAGAATCTCATGGGCATTCCTGTGTAGGGTAGCTTGAACCATGATCTTTAGAGCTCAGCCACCTGAGTAGCTAGGATTATAAGACTGAGCCACTGGCTTTCATTACCATTCTTAGTGGATATTAATGGCACTTTTCAACATGGCAATTTTTTGTTTGAGATAAAGTTAGATTCACGTACAATTGTAAGAAGTACTGTATTTCAGAGGGTTTTTTTGGCTATTTTCTCCAATGATAATGTCTTTCAAACTATAATAAAACTCAGACTACAAATTTTCAACATTGATTTATTCCATAGATCTTTTATTTACTGGGGATTCAACTCAGGACCTATACTTCCTAGATGGGTGCTCTACTATTTACCCATAGCTCTAGCTTTTTTGCCGTGGTTTATTTTCTGCCAATTTTGAGGATTGAACTCAAGGCCTAGGCACTGTCCCTGAGCTTTTTTTTTTTTTTTAATGGTTAAGGCTACTACTCTACCACTTGAGCCATACCTCTGCTTCTGGATTTTTGAGGATTAATTGAAAATAAGAGTCTCACAGACTTGCCTGCTTCGGCTGGCTTTGAACCACAATCCTCAGATCTCAGCCTTTTGAGTAGCTAGGATTACAGGCATGAGCCTGGCTGCCCTGATTATTTCCTAAGATAGGAAATTGCTTCCTGCCCAGGCACATGTCTAGTCTTTGATCTGTTCGTTTTTCAGTCTTTCTTTTTCTTTATTTTTTTTTTTTTTGGGTCCAGTCGTGGGGCCTGAACTCTGGGCCTGAGCACTGTCCCTGAGCTCTTCAGCTCAAGGCTAGCGCTCTACCACTTGAGCCACAGCGCCACTTCTGGCTTTTTTTTTGCTTATATGGTGCTGAGGAATCGAACCCAGGGCCTCATGCATGTAAGGCAAGCGCTCTACCACTGAGCCACCTTCCCAGCCCTGTTTTTCAGTCTTTCTTTGACAGCAGAGATGACATGTGCATACTACCAAGCTTAGCTATTGGTTGAGAATGGGATCTCTTGAACTTTTCTTTTTGGTCTGGTCTATATCTGTCATTTTTCTAATCATAGCCTTTCAAGTAGCTAGGATTATAGGCATGGGCCAGCTGCACCTAACTCAATCCATCGATCTCACTGAAATGCCGTTCTACATTTATTAATGTATGTTTTCAGTTTTGTGCATTTTTATCACATGGGAAGCTTTTAGGTCAAGACTAGGGATATAACCTAGCACTTTCAGCAAGCTAGCTAGAGTTGCTCTACCACCAAGGTACATACTCAGTGCTTATATTCTTGAAACATGACATCTGTAGCTCAGGTTGCCTAAAACTGGCTATGTAGCATAAGCTACAGTGAAACTTGTGATTGACCTGCCTCCGCCTCCGAAGTGCTGAGATCACAAACTGGTGTTACCTCATATGGCAATACACCCAGGTTTGTTTGATGTCTCCTATCACAGTAGGGATATAGACCATTTGCATCACTGAAAGAATGCCTCATCTTGCCCTTTTTCTGATCATAGTCTCTTTTGTTACTTCTCCCTCCATCCTCCCATATCTGGATACTTAGCAATTATTGATCTATTTTGTTTATAATTTTGTATTTAAGAATGTTAAGAGATGCTTAATAAGGTAGTGCCTTATTAAGCCTGTAATTCTAGCACTGGAGTGGCTAAGCACTATAAATTGAGACAAGCTTGAGTTACTATATAGTGATACTATCTCAAAAAAAAAGAATGTGAAGAGAATCCAATTCAGTACACCTGAAAAATTATTCAGGTTGCTCTAGGCATACATGGTCCTTTAAAAAATTTTTTGGATTGTATTCCATGGTATGGATATGTCAGTTTGTTTAGCCATTCACCCATTAAAGGTAGTCATGTTTTTTTTTCATGTTTTGAATAGTGGGATTATGCTGTATTTATAAGGAATTTTTTGTAAGGATTTTTTTTACATAAGTAAGTTTTTATCCCCTGATAATGAATAGTGCTAAATTGGCTTGCTTTGCTTCCTCATAACTAGTGCTCTAAATCACAAGCCATTATTTCAGCCTAGCTTTTAAAAAAATGTTTTTATTATCTTTAACTAGTTGTGCAAAGGTGTTGCCATTTAACAAAACAGTTTATGAAAACAGTGAATCTTGATCGATGTCCCTTTTAACATTCTTATCTAACCTCAACTCCTATTCCCTCATTTTTCTTAATTTTTGGGTTATGTATTGAATTTGTTGCTGTTTAACAAAGCAGTTTATGTGTACAATGCATCTTGATCTCTGTTATTTCTTCAACATCTCTTTACCTACCCCTTCCCTTATTTTTTCCAATTCTGTAGTATATATAATGTATTCATTATTTTATTTTATTTTATTTTGGTTGTAGAGCTTGAACTCAGGGCCTGAGCCCTGTCCTTGAGCTCTTTTTCCTCCGGGCTAGCATCCTATCACTTTGAGCCACAGCTACACTTCTGATTTCTGGTGGCTAATTGGAAATAAGAATTTCTTGGACTTTCCTGCCTGGGCTTGCCTTGAACCACAATCTTCAGTTCTTAGTCTCCTGAGTAGTTAGGGTTACAGGTGTGTGAGCCACCAATGCCTAGCTACAATGAATTCTTGCCTGTAACTTCCCTCTTCCCTTCTTCATTCTTCTCCCCCTCTCCTTGGCCTCACCCTCCCCTCTTGCAAGTACCCATTTACTGGTACTTGTTTTGCTGGGCTTTGACTTTTTCTTTCTAAAGAATTATACTATATGAGCTCTCCATACAGCTTATAATATAATACTTCAGTTAATTCATTTGTAACCACTTGCATAACACCCAGAGGGTTTACTTATAGATTTATAGGCACTTTCTAGTTACCACAAATGATGGAAACTATGGAACCTATGTTTCTTTGGGTCTGGCATACTTCACTTAATATAATTTTTCCCAAGTCTTCCCTTTCCTTAAAATACCATTTTTCTAATGGATGAGTAGAATTCATCCATTGAGGGGCATTTGGGCTAATTCCATATCTTGGTTATGGTAAATAATGCTGCAATGAACATGGTTGTGCTGGTAGCTTTAGTGTGGCCTTGTTTGTGCTCTGTTGGATAAATGCTAAGAAGTAAAATTGCTGGGTCTTAGGGTAGTTCTATATTTAGTTTTTTGAGGATCCTCCATACTGTTTTCCAGAATGGTTGAACAAACTTACATTTCTACCAACACATCCTTGCCAGCATTTTTTATTGCTAATTTTTTTTTATATTGGCCATTCTAACTGGGGTGAGGTGGAACTTCAGTGTTTTTTTAATTTGCATTTCCTTTAAAGGCAGAGATGTTGAATATTTCTTCATGTGGCTGTTGCCATTTTTACTCTATAGTATGGCTTTTTGCTGTGAGATGGAATTTGCAGGATTTTTCTGCTCAAGCTGACTTTGAACCTAGATCTTACAGGTCTAAACCTCTTGAGTAGCTAAGGATTACAATTATGAGCCATCAGTGTCTTATTGCATTTGTACTTTCATAAGTCTTCTAAAAAGTTTATATATCTTCAATTCCCACCAACAATATATGAGTGATCCATTTTCTTTATCCTCTTATTTCTAATGTGCATTTTCCTAATGAACCACATTTTTGTTCTTTATCAATATTTTAAATTTATTTTTAAAAGTAGTTTGTTTTTCTTCATGAGAAAATATCTTTATTTTTCCTATATTCATTAAGAATAGTTTTACTCTGTAGAATTTGCAGTTGAGCATTTATTTTCCATTATTATCTTGAAAGGAAGAAGTCAGCATGTTTTATTTTTAATTAAAACTAATCTCAGTGCTAGTGGCTCATACCTGTAGTACAGGAGGTTGAAATCTGAGGACTGTGGTTTGAAGCCGGCTCGGGCAGGAACATATCTAAGACATTCCTAGGATTGCAGGCATGAGCCACTGGCACCCTGCTGTTTCCAACTTTAGATTATGAACACTAATATACTGGCATTTATGCAAACAGAAACTTATATACAATTCTGGGACATATATTTGTATGTGATTACTTTTGTGAGAAATCTCTAAACATTTTTCCAAGGGTTATATAATTTTATCTTCTCACTAGTAATATGTGAGTGATGCCAGTTCTGTACATGTATCCTTTTACTTGATTTTCCTTTTTACTTGCAGTTTCATGAAGGTGTTCATTTGTACTTTCTTTAAGAGACAAGCAATTGTAGTTTTCCCTCATGTAAGAATGACCTTATTGCCAGGTGCTGGTGGCTCACGCCTGTAATCCTAGCTACTCAGGAGGCTGAGATCTGAGGATGGCGGTTCAAAGCCAGCCCGGGCAGGAGAGACTGTGAGACTCCTATCTCCAATAAACCACCAGAAAACCGGAAGTGGCGCTGTAGCTCAAGGGGTAGAGCGCTCGCCTTGAGCTGAAGAGCTAAGGG